TTTATTTATTTATTTAACTTATATGCCGCCCACACTACCCGAAGGTCTCTGGGCGTTATTTGCTAAATCTTCTTTTGATACATATTGTGGGGCATGAATTGCATGCACACATGCTACATTGATTGGATTTCTCCACAGTCACAGGAACTTTGCCCTGTATCCAAGAAGCTCCATTTTACTTCGATTATTCTTGATTTTCCTGGATTTTTCTTGATGATTAAATAAATATGTTGCACTATAGAGGTAGTATAGCTCAGTGAGGTCCACAGCCTGGCTGCAGAGCTAAGGGCTGAGAATTTGACTCCCTACTGTGCCTTCTAGTAGAGGTGCCAGCCAAGATCATCTAGAACAGTGGTTCTTAATGTTTTTGAAAGAAACACCCTTTGAGCCATTGAGGAAGTTATCATTGCCCCCTCCCTGCAGTGGCAGCACTGGATCCACTGCAAGCACCAGCTGCTCTCAATCTGCCTCCCGGAACTGCTGCCAGTACCGTGGCTACAGCTGCTTTCTCAGGTTTGGCTCGCTCCATCGCCCCCATATCGCCCCCCCTTCTGTTCCTTTGCCCCCACGTCACCCCTTTTCATTCCATTTCCCCCCTGAAAAACAAAATCGCTCCCTAGGGGGCGATATTACCCAGGTTAAGAACCACTGATCTAGAACATGCATGCTAGATGGGATAATAGCCCCTGACACTTGTGTGCACTTTGGCAACCTGCACTGTCCCAGACCACAACCAAAAGGAGTCACTATCAAACCACCTCTGAGTACTTTATACCTAGAAAATGCTGGGACGGTTGTGATCAGTAAGAATTGATGTAACAGGATATAATTGCTATGTTCTATAATAAATGTTGATTAAGCCAAATACAAAATGAATTCTACACTTGTTACTGGGCCAGTTACTTCCAAGACTTACTCTTCATTCCACTCCCACTTACATGGAAGAAAGTTCCTGTGAACACAGTGAGGTTTAGTTCTGCACAGACATGGACAGCACTGCACTGAGAATGAATTTGGGCCTGCTTGATTTGAATATTATTACTTCAAATTTTGAAAAAATCCCAACATGGCAGGCTTATTTAGTTTCTATTCCATGTTCTGTATAGGTATGTTATATTAATGCACATTTGAAGTTTCAAGCTATGGTTTGGCATTAAAATCTAAAATAACTCATTTAAAATCTACCAAATGGTCACATCTCAGATATGTGTCTATCAATGTTTCAGAATGAAAATAAAACCTGAGAAACATGAGAGTTTTATTTAAAAAACAATATGCAGCTTTTCTCACACCTCAGAAGTTTTCAGCTACATGCTGTGAAATATTAAGATTACTCGGCAATGTATGTTATATTCTATCAAGGCACATCCAACTTATAATTCCATCTGATTACAAAGAACTTGTAGAAAAGTTCATCAACAACTGTAAAGGGCCCATCTATTAGCATTCATTTTATTCTACCATTGTTATTTTACCATTATTATTCTACCATTGTTAATTTATGACAGAAGTTCTCACATTCTTTATAGCTCAAATACTTCTACTAAAGACCTGCACATCAAAGATACTATCATCACCCAGTGACTTTCTCACCAACCAAAAGCAATCTCTGCTATCGCTTGATGCCATGTATAAATATTTGCCATTTTATTTCTCCTTCTCTTATGTCTGATGAAGTAGACTTGTCCATGAAGGTAAAGGTAAAGGTTCCCCTCGACATTTAGTCCAGTCGTGTCCGACTCTAGGACGTGGTGCTCATACCCGTTCCCAAGCCATAGAGCCAGCATTTGTCCAAAGACAGTTTCCGTGGTCACATGGCCAGCACAACTAGAAACAGAATGTCTTTACCTTCCCACCGTGGTGGTACCTATTTATTTACTTGCATTTACATGCTTTCGAACTGCTAGGTCGGTAGAAGCTGGGACAAGCAATGGGAGCTCACGTGGATTTGATCTTACAACTGCTGGTCTTCTGACCCTGCAGCACAGAGGCTTCTGCGGTTTCACCCACAGCACCACCACGTCCCCATTGTCCATGAAAGCTCACATTAAAAAAATATAAAAGTTAGTTTTTAAGGTGCTACCACGTTTTTCTCTTTTTTCACTTTTATAATCCAATTTACAGTGACCTGTACAGAGTTTCCCAGGTATGCGAGATGTTCAAGGAGTGATTTTACCATTGCCACCAGGGTGGATTTAATTTTAATAAAGTTGATTTAAATCAAGATTTAAATCACTAGTCAGTAAGGTATGATTTATCAGTGGTTCTTAACCTTGAGTTACTCAGGTGTTTTTGGACTGCAACTCCCAGAAACCTTCACCACCAGCTGTGCTGGCTGGGATTTCTGGGAGTTGCAGTTCAAAAACACCTGAGTAACCCAAGGTTAAGAACCACTGATTTAAATCAGGATTTTTAAATGTAAAGACTCATTTTTGCTATTAGCTATAATCTTTAATATTTACAACCAGATCAAGATTTCATATTTAGAATAATAATCTGTCTATTAGTAAAGCAATTCTATCAGAACAGATTTTAGTTTTGTAGGTTAATCACTCATATTTGAAGAACTACTTAAAATTGTTTTATTTAACCAAAACACTAACATTATATAACATAAATATTATTGTATTTGGTTAAACATCAATGTATTTATTATTTGCACATAGATTTGCAGAACAACAATGGGATTAAGGTCTTTTTCTAAACTTTGTTCATTTTATTCCATTGTTACTGTGAAAAAATGCATGTCATCTCAGCTTGGATAACTTGGATTGATTGAATTAGTTTAAAATGTAACTATTGTAAGAATACACAGTTTCATGCTACATAACTAAGCTCTATTTCATGCTGAACAACCTTTGAACTGTAATGGATATTAAACAGAAAAATATCTTTAGATAGATTTTTTTGTCCACAAGCATTAAAATAAATTTGATGTATAAAAATCCTACATAAATAATTTTTAAACAATATTTTGACTTTTTTTAAATCATTGATTTTAATCCAGCGATTGCCACTCGACAGTAAGTTTTCATGGCTGAATGAGGATTTGATCTCATGTCTCTTGAATGCTAATCATTCTCTCTATCCACTAGACCAGAGGTCCCCAACCTCAGGTCCGCAGCCTGGTGCCAGTCTGTGGCCTGAGCTGGACTGGGCCATGGAGACAGACCTCCCGCCCCCGCACGCATTCACCCCTGCACAGCTGATTTGCGCATGCGCACAAGTGCTGCGCCACTGTTTGTGCATGCCCATGCACATAAGCGCTGCTGTTTGTGCATGCGCACAAGTGCCCACCTGCACAAGAGCCACACTGCCCTTTGAACATGCACGCACTCGTAAGCACAAGAGCATGCGCATAGTCATTTGTGCATGCACACAAGGTGCCCTGCCTTCCCCAGCCGGGGGTTGAAAAAGGCTGGGGATCCCTGCACTAGACTACACTGGCATAAACTGCCAAATAAACACAAACAGAATCCAGAATGCTGATTGAAGAAAAATGATCTACCAAATTCAAGGAGAGGCTTGCTCAGAACGAAATAATTCTTATCAATGTGCTTTGCTAGAATTATAATCATTCATTTAACTGACAATGAATTAAATTAGTAACTTCCAATTAGTAACTTCCAATTAGTAACTTCGGCACTGTCGTTTTAAATGAAGCTGAATTTACCTCAAAAAAACAAACTATAACCATGCTTTATATTTCTCTAAAATCACTGCTAATGGAACATGATAACTTAGAATTATATATTTTGTATTATATAGAATATATAGAATTATATATTAATTGTACTGTCTAGTGCACGCTATCCCAAGTCTAGGCTACTCCATTTGTTAAATGTTTTATATCTGTTCAGAATAATTATAAGAAGAGAAATTCGAAAAACGGCCTAAAAGATGCACACTATATTGAAACATTCCCAGTATTCTTATGGAACATTCAGTCACCTGAGGGTTCTGATGGTTGTTCTTCAATGCTTGGTTCATACCCTGTAAATGACAGTGCCACTGCGACTGTAGACACTGCAATGGAAACCATCTGCCCAGGAAATTCTGCTCCTAAAAATAAAGATGGGATTAAAAGAAAAGTCCAAAAGTTCCATAACATATTAGTACAGTGGTGCCCTGCTTAACGATTACCCCGTTTAACAACGAATCCACTTGACAAAGAGGTTTTTGCAATCATTTTTGTGATCGCAAAATAATGTTTCAAAGGGTTTTTTTCACTTCCCGATGATCGGTTCCCTGCTTCGGGAACTGATTCTGCGGATTACGACGATCAAAACAGCTGATCGTCGGGTTTCAAAATGGCTCCCTGCTGTGCTTTAGGACGGATTTTTTGCTTCACAGGCACCCAAAAATGGCCACTCTATGGAGGATCTTCGCTGGACACTGAGGTATTTAGCCCATTGGAACGCATTGAACCGGTTTTCAATGCATTTCAATGGGCTTTTTTATTTCACGACGAGGATTTTGCTCTATAGCAATTTCGCTGGAACGGATTATCCTTGTCAAGCGAGGCACCACTGTAATTGATTCTTGCTTCTGCTTTCTTCAATGAAACAAATCGTATTCAGGAACTATGCCCATATTGTGGAACCAATCCCAATATGGATAAAGGAGTCCTACTGTAAATTCTTCCCCCAAATCCAAACCCACCTGGAAGTCAGGCATAACTTTGCATAGTGAAGCTATATAGTGGTGCTTGAATGCATGTTCTACTGAACGCGCTGACAGCATTTCCATAATTGGGAGCCCCGATAACCAAAGGCTCCCAATCATAGAAATACAGTACTGCAAGTGTATACAACAAAATGTTCTTGCAAGCACTGCTGTAAGCCATTGCCATGAACATGCAATGATCTGCCTGATTACTGAGTGGGATGGGAGCACAGGGGGACACGAGTTGCGTATTCTCCCCCTTCCCCACTACATGTCAAGTTCTATATGCTTCAAGGTTGCAATGCTTGAACAGAGTACTATACAGTATTATATTTCAGTTAAATGGACAGAATTCAGAGCTGTGTGTACAAGCATAATGTTGGAAAGCTGGAGCAGCATAATGCTTCAAAAGTCTCATCAATGTCAGCGTAGTAAAATCTGGCCTCTTTTCCTAGAAGGATGATAACTGGAAGCTGCATTATTCTCACAATTTCAAAATAGCTTTCACATTCTTTTAGAAAAGAACTGATATTCTTCTCAGAGGTACTCTATGATTATGTTATCAATCATATTTCAACTATTCTTCAAACTAACTAGAATACAAGAAGAAGCAAAGATTTCAAGGAAGATTTCAATGAAAGCTTTATTACTGAAATACTATAGTCAAACATCAAAACACCAAGAAACTATCTATCAATATTTCCTTATTTTAAAAAAGGTAACGTCAACCTTTTCTTCTTAAAAAGGGCAAAAATACTGGCTATTTCAGTTCCTTCTGACCTCCAAACTGGTATGGATAACTACCATCATATATTTTGTAGATGGGTTTACTGCAAGCACTGATAAACTATGACATATAGATTTGCCCACTTAATGATACTGACCAAAATCCTATATTGTCCACATAAAGTTGTGCAACATGTTGTGAAATTTGCACCAAGGTAGAAGTTGTATCCAGTAAGCAGTTTTTCAGTGCTACTAGTTATACAATCAATTCTACAATCAGGCATGGAATGCAGACTACCTGGACATAAATCCCTGAAAACTTCTGCAGGAGTAACTTTACACTATGCCAAGTGGAAAGGTTTTCAGTTCTTTCCGAATCTGAACTCATGTCCAGAAAATTATGATGCTTACCAAAGATAGTAAAGAGTGAAAAATGTGTGCATCCCTGTTATAGCACATAGTTATATCCAATGATTTGCAACATTCCTAAAGCATTACCTGTTTCTTACCTGAAGACTCATTGCCACTTGGTTGCTCATACAACATACCGACAGTCATTAAGACAACTATAACCAAAAATACTGGAATTCTCCAAGATCCCGCTGCAGATGCTGCAAGAAAGTGGTCCTTCCTTTAATAACTGCTATATTTTAAAAGATACATAATATGTATAAAATACCAACAAAAACAACAAACAGAATAATCTGGAAACAAATGCTTGCCAGAGATATTCACAGAAATCTAACCATGGAACAAAAATTAAAGACTGCACATTTTCCTGAGGATTCTTCTCCTATGCAGGATGTCACTATGTGTTTGCTTCTACACAGTATAAAATACTTCATAGAACAAACAAAAGAGACCACTGATTCACTGTCACTGAATCATCATTTGTTGTATATGAAAAGAATATAGAATTTTCAGTGAAACTGAAGACTTTCAGGAATCAAGTTATTCGCTAAGGAAAATGTTAATAATTCAATTGTCCCACTCAGGGTCAAAAGAGATATTAAGGAAAATGTATCTTCTTTGCAATTAGTTCATCTTCCTTGAACAAAATGATATACTGAGAGATATGTGCCTTCTTGGTAGACTTGAAAATTAATTGCAAATTTACTTTCAATGAATAATCACAAAACAAATCACATTGGGAGAACAGAAACACATATTATTACAAATAGGCATCTCTCCCTGTTTCAAGCACCACCGGCTCTAAATACATTTTAATTGTACTGTCTAGTTTATCCCTGAGAATGAATACAGAACCACTCAGTTCTAGAAAACTGCACATTTACTTCTGTTACTTCTGTAAGATGAGTATGCCAGCATATTTAAATAATCAAGAAATAATATTCTTCCACCTCCACCTATCTTGTAGATATGAATATGCACTCACCCAAATGGAAAAGCAGTATAATCCAGACAGGAACAGAGATTATTCTCAAATAATGTTCAGTGCTTGGATTCCACTTGAATAATACAGTTAAGAGATAGCCTGCTATCAAGGTCCATATCTTGATAGGAAAAGAGAAAAAGGCAATCAATGCTCATTCCTGGCAAACCAAGGTCAGAATAGGTCTAGGGCTGGAGAACAACTGACAACCCCAGCTGCATCTAGTCCAAATACATTTAACAAGACCCTGGCAGCCTTACCAAACTGTTATGATAAGAACTTTGTCTGCATACAGAAGAGTAAAATATTCTCTAGTTTCAGATAACAGCGACAGCCTACATTTTAATACAATATATCCTTTACAGAGGTTATATGGGATGTGTTGGCTATATGTAAATAAATGCTTATGTTCCAGAACAGAAGGCCTTTTCCCTAGCTGATACCCCCAACAGCCATGCCTCATAGGTTCAGATTAGAGATGGGGGTATTCAAATTCAAATATCTCCATACAGCTGGACTTAACGAGGGGCTGGCCCCTGTGGCTGGCCCATCCACTCACCCACTCGGCAGTGGTGACCTCGTTCATCCTTCCAATCGCGCCCAGAGTTCCGCTCTCTTCCTGCTCAGCTAGCTACTCCAGGCAGTGGGAGGGAGAATGAATCTCCCTCTATGGTTGCTGAGTTGCTAGCTGAGCAGGAAGAGTGGAGATCCGGGAGCGATTGGAAGGACAAGCAAGGCAACCGCCCTGCCAGACGCATGAGTGGACAGGCTGGCCACAGGGGCCAGGCCCCTTGTTAAGTCCAGCTGTGTGGGGATATTCATATACAAATACACCCATCTCTATTTCAGGTCATGGTCTACACTAGCAGTTTCCAACCTTAGGTCCCAAGGGTTCTTGGACTACAACTATCAGAAATCCTGGCCTGTAAAACTAGTGGTGAAGGTTTCTGTGAGTTTTAGTCCAGTAACACCTGGGAACCCAAGGTTGGGAACCATTGGTCTATACACCAAATAATGTAGCTGGGAAAACAGTATGTGAGTCTGTCTTTCAGTTTGGAGAAAGGATTTGTGCGAGTATGATTCAGTAAGAGCAGTGTGTACATCTGTATTCAAGATCAGGCAAGGTAAAATAGTGTTTATGTGAAGCAGAGATATAGGTGAATGCTGGCTCTGGCCACCCCATATGGACGGCAAGGAAAATGTTGACCATCCCAATTATTCCAATTTTATTAAGTAACGTGGAGGCCCTTTACAACAACTTTTTGCAATGTGTCCTCAATGTCCATGTATCATCCAAGCCTACAGCTGAGGGTGCTGAAAAAGCATATTTGAAAAAAAACTTAGCTTAGAGGATAGGAGTCTTCTCTTAACTTGGGTCCTCCTTTACATACAGAGGTGGGAAGGGGTGTGAACATCCAACCATGTGCATGCAAGCCAACAAAGCAGGAGGTTTCTGCACCCAACTCAGTGCATTGTTCCATTGCAGGAAGTCTGAGAGAGCAATGTAATTAGTCCTGCATGTAGCCTGAAATATTTATTAATAATATACTACGTTGCAAGACTCCTATAAGCTACTCTCTTTCAGCTCAGCCCTCCAATGTGAGATAACGACAAATTATACTCCAGTTCTACAGCTACTCTTTCAGACTAGTAAGGTAAAGGTTCCCCTTGACAATTTTTGTCCAGTCGTGTCCGACTCTAGGGGGCGGCGCTCATCCCGCTCTTCAAGCCATAGAGCCAGCGTTTTTGTCTGAAGACAATCTTTCTGTGGTCACATGGCCAGTGTGATTTAGACACGGAACGCTGTTTACCTTCCCACCGAGATGGTACCTATTTATCTACTTGCATTTGCATGCTTTCGAACCGCTAGGTTGGCGGGAGCTGGGACAAGCAACGGGCGCTCACTCCGTCGTGTGGATTCGATCTTACGACTGCTTGGTCTTCTGACCCTGCAGCACAGGCTTCTGCGGTTTAGCCCACAGCGCCACCACGTCCCTACTCTTTCAGACTACAAAATGGAAAAAAACAACGAATTAATAACAATGCAGGATTATAATGAGCTATGCTCAGCTTCAACCCAACCCTGAACCAGTAAAAGCAGTCTAATACCTCTGAATAGCACTGCAAAGTTGTTGAAAACCTCTGAGAGGCTGATCTGCAAAGGCCAATGTACACTACATTGCAGGATTTTCAGAAGTTATGCTTTCAATAACTCCTCCCAATTCACAAAAATGGGAAAATTCACACCATCTGCTTTTGAATATCCCTTAGAAATCACCAATCTAAACAGATATTTTCTAAAGGTACCACTCAGGAAAAATCTAACAGCACTCTGCCAGAAATGAATGTTCACTGCAAGCATAAGGAATTGACTGGAGCTTCCAGAAAGTCTTCTGTTGGTTCCTGTTACAACTACAATAGTGCATCTTGATAACTAAAAATATGGGCTGTAAATGTAACAAAGTATTCCAATTAAGGCAAGTCAACAACAAAATCCTTTTTAAAAAGATTAGGTGAGCACTAAGCAAAGTAATATCAGGGATGTGGTGGTGCTGCAGGGTCAGAAGACCAAGCAGTCATAAGATCGAATCCACACGACAGAGTGAGCGCCCGTCACTTATCCCAGGTCCCGCCAACCTAGTGGTTCGAAAGCATGCAAATGCAAGTAGATAAACAGGTACCACCTCGGTGGGAAGGTAACAGCGTTCCGTGTCTAAGTCGCACTGGCCATGTGACCACGGAAGATTGTCTTCAGACAAACGCTGGCTCTATGGCTTGGAAACAGGGATGAGCACCACCCCCTAGAGTCGAACACGACTGGACAAAATTGTCAAGGGGAACCTTTACCTTTAAGCAAAGTAATATGCACCAGCAGACGCTTGGGCCCTCTCCAGTTATACTACCAACATCAATAATAAGAGGGCCTGACAAATGTTACAAGAAGAAGACCAAATAGTGCCAGCTTCCTATCTTACAAAAATATCAATCCACTTTGGTGGATGATCTATATTGGGAACCAGACTGTTTTATAGAGTTTGGAAGTTCAGTGCTATCAATGTGCTGACAACATCAAATCCTATCTCTCTGTTCCATCTAATCCAAAGAAGCAGTTCTTATTTTGAATCAGCTCAATCTCAGTAATGAGCTAGGTAAGAGCAGATGCTTAGTTAAATGGCAGGCTGGAGAACAGGGATTCAACCTGGGTTGTATTGGGTTACATTCTCTCTGAAGATTTAGATTTACAGTTTGTTTATTACTAGATTCAGTTCTCAACTAACTTCTGGTGGTAGGCACAATTGTGCTTCAGAGTTAAAGTATGCACACCAGTTACACTTTCATGCCTCAGCTACATCCCCCCTTTGTATTCATATAATATGGTCTAAATGCAGTTGCCTCAGGAACTGCAGTTGGTCTTAAAGTGCTGCTACCACACTACTGAACAGGGCTGGTTACAGGGAACACACAACTCCCTTGTTCAGCAGGTTTAGTGGCTAGGTAGCAGCTTTACTGTTTCCAGATCCAGTTCAAATTGTTGATTTTGATCTATAAAGTAATACATAGCTTGGATCCAGGCAATCTGAAGGACTGTATTGTTCCATAAAAGCTGGCCCAAGCACTGAAGTCTCCAGGAGATACTGCTTCCATCCTCCTGAATTCCTCCTTACTGAGGAAAGCTAGGCTGACTTGCTCCATGTTATATTTCTATCAGCAGGCAAAGACCTTTTTATTCAGATGGATCTGTACATGATTTCTTTTATAACAGAATATTGAATCAATTAATCAATTAATCAATTAACTAACTAACTAACCCAAGCACAGATTAGACTAGAAAAGCTGGCTAAACATTTGTATCATTGTTCTCAATGCTACATTTTCAAAAAATCTAATTACAAGACTCAGACAAATATAGTAATAATAATACCCTGCTTAACACTGCCCTGTTTAGCACTGCTCCATTATCACATGTGTTTCACCGCCCTCTCAACAGTCAGTCAGATAATCAGACAGCCATTCTTTCACTGGTGCAAACTGCCCTCTCTTTCTCCTCCTTCTCGACCCCCAGCTCCTATTCACCCATATTCTTCCAGGAAAAACAAGCATGCTATCCACATATACAAACACGACTGCACAAGCAGGCAGCCAAGCAAATGGTCAGCCATAGGCAGCTCTTCTACAGTCTCAGTCCCTCATTTCTCTCCACGTGGTAGAATCAGCAAAGGCACCAAGTACATTAGGGCAGCTGTGGTGGCTGCTTTGCTCCTTCTTTCCATTCTTATCCCCCTTTAATTAATCACATCACACATATTCCCTCTTTTATATTTCTCCTTTCACTACTCTCCCTCCTCCTCTTGAAAATGGCTCAAACTTTCATTTGTATTTTCATCTATCCCAATGAAGTATAATGTTATAATGCCCCAATTGACCACTGTTTCAGTTAGCACTCCATGTTTTAGGAAGTGCTAACTGGTGTATTACTGTTTTACAAAATCAAATTCTCTAATTGAAATACTCTCATCTACTGAAACATAGGAACTTACTGTGCAGATAGCCACACATCCATACTGTGGCCACATATTTTCAAGTACTTAGCAGGGTAATGTGAACCCATCAGTTGCTCATCCCATTTCCCAGAATCACACAGTAAGATCTGATCTACTTATCAAAAAGAATGAAGCCGAAGTATTCTGTACTACACTAGTTCACATTACTGGTACAGGGGATGCCATTTTAAATTCTCCCCCATGGAAAACAAAGAAATAAAACTCCCTGATAGCAGCAAATTAGGACATTGTGGAAATGTTCAATGAACTCCTTATCCTCATCTGCTACTTCACTATACATAGGGGCCTCTTCATATGCAAACTTAATGTAGTTTTCCACCTAGTATTGGATAACATATCCACTGACTAGCAACAGTGAATGTTACTGGTAGAGGAATGACAGCAACAATATGCTGCAGCTCATAGATTCACTTCTGAAGGCAAGTACTGTATTGCTGTATTGCCATTAAAGGCAACAGCCACAGCAGTATACAAACTGCACATCATGCACTTGTGTGCTGCTTACTTAGTGGTATATACTGCCCCACAGTGCTTAACACTCTCGCTGAGCAGTTTACAATTTATTTATGCAGGCTACACATTGCTCCACCCCCACCAAACTGGGTACTCAGTTTACTGACCTCACAAGAACGGAAGGCTGAGTCTGCCTTGAGCTGGCTACCTGATCAAACTCAGGTCGTGAGCCAAGTCTTTATTACAGTACTGCAGTTTAACTACTGTGCCACAAGGCTCTTGTGCTTCCACTTTTGCTCCAAGATAAAGAAATCTAGAAGATGGGAACACTGCATGCATACTAAAGATGCTAGTGGTGTGCACATCAGGTTATTTGGCTTTTAGATTGGACTAATCATTTTTAGCTGCTTTTAATCTGTCAGCGGGATAAACATTATGATTTTGGAAAATGAATGCTGATACTGTATACTGAACATGAATGAACCAAAGTGAAATAAGAGAAGACTAGAGAGAAGGTAACAGTAGCCTGCCTACTAGTTTACATCTAGAATTTTTGCCAAAGCAACAGAAAAAAGAATTTACTTTTACCAAAGAGATGAGCAACATGGCAATAGTTATTTGAATATGAGGAACAAAACAAAATATGGTTGAGTAAGTTATTTATCAGTGGCTAAAGCATATAATAGGAGGACAGAAGGCTTGGGAAGCAAGAGGAGAAAATCAGTTTGCGACACACAGACCCTATGACAAGATATCAAATAGACATCTAGAGGTGTAGAATTAAAGGAAGTTAAATGGTTTTGAAGGAACAACGTCACTCAAGAGCAAATGATCACCTGTACAAAAGGCGAAAGATCCTGCTGAAAGAGACAAACATAATTGATTTTTAAGGGATGAAGCACAGGGTCAGATACCAGACTGAAAGCCCAGAAGTAGAGAAGAAGGAAGTGCAACAGTGAGAATAAAAACTTTGGTCCAGCAGTTTGAAATGAAAGCTTAGAAGGAAAATGGGGAGATATCAGGGGAGGCAGAGTGTTACAGCCTCACCTCTTTTCTTCTAGCCCCTCTCTCACCTCATCTACAACAGTATACCTCCCTCCCATTAGGGAATTGGTTGTAGCTCAGCAGAAGAGAACCTGCTTTACAAGCAGAAGGTTCAGTTCCCAACCCCTCCACAGAGTGCTAATGGCAAATTCTTCATGAATCCCTGAGGAACAATGTTGACAGTACTGTAAGGACTAAAGGGACCAAGGATTTGACACAGTGTAAGACAGATGCCAATATTCCCTTCCACCATGCTGTAACTTTCTCTTCCTCCCTCCTATGCTGCTGCCTCTCTACTCCTGTAACACAGCATTAGCTACACAATATGGCTTCACACAGAGAGTGCTGGGATTCAATCCATACGGCTTTAAACAGAGGGTGAAGAGCAGCCAGAGTGCCACAAGGTGAGGAAGAGAGAAAGAGGAGGACAAGGCAAAGGGGTGGCAGTAAAGCCATGAGAGGTTTGGCCCTCCCACTGCCCGAGACAAGAAGAAAATATTCACTTCTTAGCATCCGCGTCTTTTGCCTGCTCACCCACCCCACCTGCCCTCTGACACGCTCTCCCACGGCACTGCTGGGTGAGACAGTGGTGGGCACCGAGGACGAGAGGCGAAACAACAACAGCAGAGACCCTCCTCGAGGGTGGATCAGCATCATTTTCGTCTTCTACTGCTTCGACTGGGGCAGCCTGGCTCTTGGGGGTGACGAAGTTGGGTGGACAGGGAGGAAAATTGGTAAAAAAAAAACAGGAGGAGGATTGTCTGGGCTGCCCCTGAGCGACAGGCGCGTCCTCCTTGCCTAAGGACACCTGAGGAAATAAGGGGAAGGGAGTTCAGGAAAGGCCTGCACCCCTCCGGCACAGGCTACCCTGCAGCACGCCGTGGGAGGCACCCGGCTCGTGGGGCCCAGAGACTCTCCGCGCCACCCCCTCCCAGGGACCGGCGGCGCTCCCTCACTCACCCAAAGGCTGCTGAAGTACTCCAGCCCCTGGCAGATGAGGCGGGCGACCTGGGCCAACGCGACCTGGACGCCCAGGGAGGTGCCCACGGCGTAGACCCCGTACAAGGAGGGCCCTCCGGCGCCCAGGAGGAGGAGGAGGCGCCGGCGCAGGACCACCTGCCGGCCCAGCGCCTCGGCCGCGGTGTTGACAAAACAGAGCGGCAGCAAGAAGGCGGCGAAGAGGACCGGCGTGCGGGAGCGGCGGAGGTGCCGCAGCCAGCCCCGGCCCAGCGACGTGAGGGAGCTCTTGAAGGGGTGCAGGAAGGTGCCGCACAGCACGGCCCACAGCAGGGGCCGCAGGAAGGCCTCCAGGATGAAGTAGACCAGCACGGCCGCCCCGCAGCACAGCCCCGCCAGCACCAGGGCGCCCGTGTTGTAGAAGGCCTGGCGCAGCGGCTTCTCCAAGCGCGGGAGCGGCGGCAACGGCCCGGGCGGCGGCCGAGGCCTGGGCTCAAATTCGGGCTCGGAGAGCGGGCTGGAGGAGGAGCGCCCGTCGCCGCTCTCCGCCATGCCTACGCGGGGCGGCCAAGGCTTCCAACCGCCCTCCCGCAAGTGCGCCTAACGGGAGAGAACCCGCGGAGCCAAGGCAAATAAATACTCCGCAGGGAATGCTGGGAGACGTAGTTTCCCAGGATGGAAAAAGGGCGCTGGTAACGAGTCCTTCTGGGAAATGTAGTCTCAGCTGCGGCCAGCCCAGCCTAAAAGGCTCAACACGGTTTGTTATAGCGTGACGTTTCGTGGGATTTGGCATCTTGAACGTGTCTCATGCAACGTACTAAGGCCTATGCCCTATTCGTTAAGGTGCCACAGGACTCCTAAGTAAAGTTTCCACTGTTATAAGCATCAAAATAATATTTCTTCTAAAAGTGAGAGCTGTTGACCTGATAACTTAGCATCCATATAGACCAGTGGTTCTTAACCTTGGTTTACTCAGGTGTTTTTGGACTGCAACTCCCAGAAGCCTTCACCACCAGCTGTGCTGGCTGGGGTTTCTGGGAGTTGCAGTTCAAAACACCTGAGTAACCCAAGGTTAAGAACCACTGATGATGGGGTTTATATTGCTGTTTAAGTGCCCTCTCGTCGAACAGACTTATAACGACCCTAACAGGGCTTTTAAGCTAAGTGAGCAATTTAACAGGTGGGTTTACCAGTTTGATTCCCCCAGTGAGTTTCGATGGCCCAGCAAGGATTCAAACCCTGGTCTCTGGAATTCTAGTCCATCACTGACTAGACCATACTGCTGTGGGGTTGGTAGATATGCCACATTTCAGACTGCTGAGGTAAAATTGCAAGAGCTACAGTACAGTGAAAAAGACCTGAAAATTGGCATATTCCCTTTTCTCCAATTTTTAGAAAGGCATATGATGTAGTGTGGGCGGCATATAAACTAGTTATCTTCTTCATTCAAACTTTTCAAGGATGGAACACAGTCACTGGTTTGATGAAATTCCAAGCAGCAGTTCAAAAATAAACAATGTTGTGTCCTGTTAAAATCCCAAGGTGGCAAATTTGGACAAAGCTCTACCATGCATGCTCACTTCCAGAGCCGGAATGCTTCCAGATATCCACTGTTTTCAAATGGAACATGCATTGTTATTCCTTCCTTTACAGAGCAGCACCTCAAGTTCAGACTCTGCTATTGTAGAGCGTAGCACAGGAATGAGGTATAGCTCTCTCTTTGCCTGGTCTGTGGTCCCTCCCATTCTATTAAATCTGTTGCCTCTCAAAATTGCCTTATAATCCCCCGCAATCAGAACTATAATGGCAATTCATAGAGCCAAAATGGCTATAGCTTTAGGTATCCTGTAGTGAGCTACACATGAAGCTCTAAATAGTAAAGGGCAGTGATGGCAAACCTTTTTGAGCCCGAGTGCCCAAATGGCAACACAAAACCAAATTATTTATGTCGAAGTGCCAACACTGCAATTAAACCTGAATACTGAGGTTTTAGTTTAGAAAAAACAACTCATGTCCTTTACACACTTAGTCTGTCTGGTTCTTTATTGATTCCGCCAACTGACAGCTCTTTTAGAAAAAAGTCAAGTGCAAAATGCTATACTGAATTAAATGCACCCAATTTATAAAGCTTATTAACTACATTGAAATCCTGAACTTGTTTCCTCCAAAGTAAGCTACCCTGAGAAAAGCAGCTATATATAGGACTGCAAATTTTAAGTGTGTACCTACACTTTCTACACTACAAGTGTTTACACACATTTCACTTATTTGAAATGTAGTGTTGGAAAAGAGATTTACAGATATCATGACTTGTCAGAAAGATAAGTAAAGCAAATTAAGTGTGGACTCTCACTATAAGCGAAAATAACTAAGCAAAGGGTATTATACTACAGTGGCATCATGAGAAGACAAGCTCACTGGAAAAGGCAGCAATGCATGAAAAAGTGCAATGCAGTAGGAAAAGAGGAAGACTGCATGTGAAGGTTCGCTTTTATGGGCCTCCTTTTCGTCAAATAAACGATGAGACGTTTTAAACTCAAACAAATTGTCTGTCTTTAACTGAGGAACAGTAACTTTATCATCAACATGGTGAGGTAATAAGTTCTCTTGCGACAGTAACGCTGCACGCAAGGGTGTCCATACATTTGTTCCAACCTGGTTTAACTCTTTAATGTCCCAAGGTCCTGATAACACCTTCTCAGTCACCTGGGTTTCAACTTCCCCTCCCTCTGGAGCTAATAATGGGAGGGTCTGCCCATCCCCCGACCATCCCCATATTGGGGATCCCTCATTCTGTTAGGTAGTCCAAGGTCCGGGTAAAACCCCATCTTCCGAAGTTCCCCCAAATGCCATGCTTTCTTTGCTTCTCTCGCAATGGCTTCCTTCTCCTAAGACACCGCCGCCATTCCTTGGTCTCCGATTCGCCCCAATAAGAAGGTTGCTGCGGTAATCTCTTTCTCCACCGACTCTCTGCTTCCTCATGGGGTACTCTGACTTGTTCCCACTTCCTGGTCCAGGGATCTTCTAACCAAATGGTCTCCCAGCCCCCTGGTATATTATCCCGGTTCCCGCCTTTTTCTCTTACTCCCCCCTCCACCTCCAACTGTCGATCCTCCCCCTTTCCTGCCAAACCCGAGTCAGCCAGGTGACAATGTTTAACGCCTTTATTCTCTTTTCCAAATCATGAGTATCCACTCCCTGATGCTTCAACCTTTCCCTCCTTTGCCTGTCTTCCAGGTCCCTTGTGTCCAGACTCTGATGTTCCATTTTTGGAGGAGAGGGTGGAGGGGTGGTCTGAATTCCCCTAGAGATCTCAGGGAGCAACGACACTCCTAGCAAGGCCTCTTGTCTTTGCTCCTGGGCTTCACACTGCACATGAGATGGACTGACTCAATAAAGAAAGCCACAGTCTTTTGTTTGTAAGACCTTTTGTTTGGTGTTGCAGTCAAAGCAGGACCAGGAGAAGAGAGACTGAGATTTAGATTTGGGGAATAAACTATACTTTTGCCTGCTCTGGGGATGAGAAACAGAGAAACGTGATTGCTACACACTTCAGAAATCTAATCCCAGGTGTGTTGGTTGTCTTTTACTAGGTGTTTGCTGTTAGTGAGACTCTGCTAAATATTCCAGTTCTGCCAAGTTCAATTTAGAGTCTAAACAGAATCTTGAAATACTGTACTTGCTATTCTCAGCAAAAATT